CAATGATGAGGGGGTACTCTTGACCATGAGCACTCTGACCGAGGAGGGGGTTATTGCTGTAAAGAATGCAGCTTGTGAGAGGTTGTTGAATCTCAGAGTGGAATTGAAGATGAAATCCAAGAAGATAAATGACTGGTTAAATCATTTTCATGTTGCAATGCAAAAGCCACGTGACAATAAGGAAAGACCCCCATGTATACCTCAGGTAGTTTTAGAAGCAAAGGCTAAGCAATCAGCAGAGAAGGAAAAGAGACATACAGAAAAGAATTTGGAGAATGACAATGGCGGTGCAGTTGTATACTCTGCCAGTTCGAAGAAGAATTATATCTTAGCTAATGATGAATGGAAAGAGGATGCTATGCCAGAAATTCTTGATGGGCACAACGTATACGACTTTGTTGATCCTGACATTTTGCATAGGCTTGAGGACTTAGAACGAGAAAAGGATACCGGCAGGTGATCTGGGAGGCTCCCCTAGTTGCCTAAGAAAAGTCCTCTGAAGTTGAAAAGTGTTCATTGTTGGTAGCAGGAAACTGATTCATTAGTATAGTTAATCCAGTTTGCATCTTATGCACCCACATGGATCACAAATATGATGTTTTGGGGACCATATTTTTTCTGTTGTTAAATTTGTCAGAGTAAAAAGAACGTAAATTGTTTTACTGCTTAGTTGTTTTCTGAAGTTCTAGCAATTTAATTTTGAACTCTCCACTTTGTTTGGTGGTGTTTTGACATCGATTACTGTCTAATGATGAAAGTTATGATTTTGGTTATGAAATTAGTGATTAATTATTTTCAGTAGATTAGGTCTACTACTTGTATTTAGTTGTTTCTGCTTATAGAATCCATGTTAATAGTGATTCTGTATGCCACCTGCTGGTAGGTATTGACTACATGTTATATGCATTTGTCTGGTGGCTGATGCTTTGGTGTGGTTATTATCATTTTTGGGTTGAGAAATTGACTCTTGTGCATTAAAAATAAAATACCGTGAATATAAATTAGACGTTTTAGTCATGTGATTTTCTGTGAAGATCAGTTTTCGAATTGAGTGATGCTATTTCTATTCCCTGTCATATTTTCCCACCCATCTTATCTTCAAAATTTTAAAGACAAATTTACCTCTTTGTAAAATGACTTTTAAGAACTTAGGGTATTTTAGGAATAATGGTGTTTACTTGTATGAGCGCGTATAAATAAGAAAAAAATTTCTACATTTAAAATGAAATAAAAATTATGCTTAATTCAATGGGTATTTTTTAAGTTTACGATAAGGACTGTTGATATTATACTCAAATCAAATTTAATAGACTCTGGAGAATACATGAGGGAATAGATTCACTCCGGGAATAAATTCAAATTTAATCCTCTCAACACATTCAAATAATAAACTCTTCACAAGTTAGTGATTATCAAGTTGTTCTTTTACTATCTTTGAAGAAATAAAAAGCATCGCTGATTCATACTTCCTAGTGAAGAACACTTGCAAGGCAGCTTCGAATGTAGAAACATACATTGCTTGAATTAATATTTAAAGGGTATTTTAGGAATAATAGTGTAAGGAAAATAAGATTGTATTCTCTTTGAGTTATGATATAGTTTCTACTTTCAATGTGTCTATGTTGCACGGATATGTCGAAAAAGTGGGGTATGCGAGTATCAGATGAGTATAAAATACGATACATGTATGTACGATACGTTGAGTTACATATCAAATACGCGTATTGAAGTGTTGATAAATTTTACGACATGTTGACCAGCCGACATGACAACGATACAGCAGGATATGCGTATAAGGTCCGTGACGCGGTGGGTCATTTTAAAAATATCTAGGAATTTTTATGGTTGTTTGAAAATTTTGTAAAACGTGGGGTAAAAATATAAATTTAAAACTTCAACTTGTAAACTCATCCCTCTTCTTCTCTAGAGAGCTTAGAGTTAGGGATTTTTCATTTTGGTTTCGGCGGTAGAAGAAAGAGGAAAAAAGAAAAAGAACTCAACCTATAAAACTTCAACTTGTAAACTCATCCCTCTTCTTCTCTAGAGAGCTTAGAGTTAGGGATTTTTCATTTTGGTTTCGGCGGTAGAAGAAAGAGGAAAAAAGAACAAGAACTCAACCTAACCTTTTTCCCGACAGCATCTGCTCCAAGGAACATCGTGCGCATCACCAGGTCTAGCTCCATTGTCCCTTGTTCTTCCATACTGCTCAACAAGGTTTTTATATTTTTTATTTTAAATAAAATTTATATATTGTTATGTAGGTCGTTTATGTTGTACGGACACTCCAAATTGTTGAAGTGCCAAAATGTTAGACAGTTTGATAAGTGGACACACTTTGGACACACCTCAGACACAACGACTTTGACGCGGTCAAGTCAAGACACTCCTTGAAACGGTCAACTCTGAGTTAAGACACGGCAGGGATGATTTTAAAATTTTTAAAATAAAAAAGGGTCACAATATAATTTCTGAAACTTTTGTGGACATATTTGCAAATGTATTAACAATTGGCGTTAAAATTGTAAACAATAACCCTAAACCCTAAACCCTTATCACTTACCTTCAGCCGCAGCAGCATCGCATTTGTAAATCCACAGCCTCTGGTTCGTGGTTTTCTTCTTCTCTCCCTTCACATTCTTTTCTTCTCATCTTAATTTTCATTATATTTGCCTCTAGTTGAGTTGCGATTGACAACAATTCTTGCGAACTGTTATCCAGGTGAGGCTTTGCTCCTTTTTATTTATTTTTCTCTGTTTTCTTATCATATGTATTTGTTGAACTCCATCATGTAATATGAGATTAGATCTCGGTTTTAGAAGAGTCGGTTGAAGAGAGAAGCATTGGATTTTGTTTTGCTTAATTTTTTAAAGTTTTTTTTTCTGAACTGATCACTTGACATAGGGCGATTAATAGCAATCTTCGTTGTGAGAAGCATTTTGTTGAGTGGTTAATTCACTTTCGTTCATTTTATTATGCCTACTGCTATTGATATATGTGAATTTGGTTGATTAATAATAATATTAATATGAGATTGCGGGTGGGATGAATTTTTCTGAATTTGGTTTATTAATTTAATTGGGTAGGTGTATTAATGTAAAATTTGGTTCATGATAAATAAGTGAGAAGTTCTCAGATTCTCACTATGGTAATCAACCTTGGTGTTAACTTGATTTTGTTTTATTTTTGTAAACAGGCAAGTAAGTAAACATGGTGCAATATAACTTCAAGAAGATGACTGTTGTACCAAGTGGGAAGGACTTCATTGACATTATCCTATCTCGCACCCAGAGGCAGACCCCAACTGTAGTCCACAAGGGTTATGCAATTTCCGGCCTCCGTTCTTTCTATATGCGTAAAGTAAAATATACCCAACAGAATTTTCATGAGAAGCTCTCCACAATCATTGATGAGTTTCCTAGGCTGGATGACATCCACCCTTTCTATGGCGACCTCCTTCATGTTCTCTACAACAAAGACCATTACAAGCTTGCACTTGGCCAAATCAATACTGCAAGGAACCTTATTGGAAAGATTTCTAAAGATTATGTGAAATTGTTGAAGTATGGTGATTCACTTTACCGATGCAAATGTCTCAAGGTCGCTGCTCTCGTTGGAAAGAGCTCATTCATTAACAAGATCACTAGGGCTGATGTGGATGTCCAGCCCTATGCTTTTACCACCAAGTCACTCTTTGTGGGACATACAGATTATAAATACTTGAGGTACCAGGTAATTGATACACCAGGGATTTTGGACCGCCCATTTGAAGACCGTAACATTATTGAGATGTGCAGCATCACAGCTTTGGCTCACTTGAGAGCTGCGGTGTTGTTTTTCTTGGACATCTCGGGGTCTTGTGGGTACACCATTGCCCAACAGGCAGCTCTTTTTCACAGTATTAAGTCTCTGTTTATGAACAAACCATTGATTATAGTCTGCAACAAGACTGATTTGCAGCCATTGGAGGGTATATCTGAGGAAGACAAAAAGTTGGTCACGGAGATGAAAGCTGAAGCTATGAAGACAGTGATTGGTCAAGGTGGTGAGGCTACCAATGATGAGGGGGTACTCTTGACCATGAGCACTCTGACCGAGGAGGGGGTTATTGCTGTAAAGAATGCAGCTTGTGAGAGATTGTTGAATCAGAGAGTGGAATTGAAGATGAAATCCAAAAAGATAAATGACTGCTTAAATCTTTTTCATGTTGCAATGCCAAAGCCACGTGACAATAAGGAAAGACCCCCATGTATACCTCAGGTAGTTTTAGAAGCAAAGGCTAAGCAAGCAGCAGTGAAAGAAAAGAGAAATACAGAAAAGGATTTGGAGAATGACAATGGCGGTGCAGGTGTATACTCTGCCAGTTTGAAGAAAAACTATATCTTAGCTAATGATGAATGGAAAGAGGATGTCATGCCAGAAATTCTTGATGGGCACAACGTATACGACTTTGTCGATCCTGATATTTTGCATAGGCTTGCGGAGTTGGAACGAGAAGAAGGATACCGGCAGGCAGATGCGGGTGATGATAATTTTGAGATGGAGGGATTGGAATTGACTCCAGAAGAGCAAAAGACATTGGCAGAGATAAGGAAAAAGAAAAGCTTGCTCATTCAACAACATAGAATCAAGAAAAGTACAGCAGAGAGTCGGCCAACTGTACCAAGGAAATTTGACAAGGACAGGGAGTTCACAACAAAGAGAATGGGGAGGCAGCTATCAAAGTTGGGTCTTGATCCCACTAAGGCAATTAACAGAGCTCGAAGCAGATCTGTCTCAACTAGGGGCCGGAAGAGGGAGAGATCACTTGACAGGGATGATACTGATGGTGGTGATGCTATGGATGTGGATACACCCAACAAGAAGCAACGCATGTTATCTAGATCCCGTTCGAGGTCAAGATCAAGGCCTCCAACTGAAGTTGTCCCTGGAGAGGGATTCAAGGACTCTGCTCAAAAGGCTAAGGCACTACAAAAGGCCAATAAATCTAATAAGATGAGAAACAAGAATGCTCGTCGTGGAGAGGCAGATAGGGTCATTCCCACTTTAAAACCAAAGCACTTGTTCTCTGGAAAACGATCAATTGGAAAAACTCAAAGGCGTTAAAATATTTGAGGTACTCAGACACATCGCATCACCTTTCAATTCAGCTTGTCTTTGTTTTGAGCACTCATTGGAAACAGTTATATATGCTGATTTTCCTTTTTCTCTGACCAGCTTTAGGAATGTGTATGCTTTATGCAAATTACATGATTTATGGGACCAATTGCATTCTATTTTGTGTCTATTACATGCATACCTCATCAAGCTACGCATCCTTGTATCAGATGCGGATGTGTGAGAATAACATTCTCGTAGCTACCAGATGGAAGTTTTTGGTCCGTTGGGAAATGGTAGTGTCATATTGATCATTAAAATTAATCTCCCGTTCTGGGGTGTTGATTTGACTTCATACTATTGAAGGTATTAAGACTGAAGAAGTATATTTGTCATGTGCTCAATGTTTTTTTATGTTTCTGAAAGCAATCAGTATAATTTTTCTTCTTGCAGGGAGGTAGATTTGTGCTTTGTTGTATGCACCATGGAGTGTACTTGCTGCTGCAAAAGAACTTAGTTCTTTCATCTCTGGTTTGGCAGGATATTGCAGCACGCGGGATCATGCAACCAGAGTCTTCACAGTTTCCTTTTTTTTGCAGTTGTGTTTTTATTTAGGAAATTTTGGATCCGAGGCATGCCTCAGTTACAATATTTTGAGTGGAGTTTAATTTACAGACTAATTTTTGTCTTTACCCTTTGCTTTTGTAATGTTGTCGTTTGACAATATGTGAAACTTGGCCAAGTTAAATTACTATTTTGTTTGTTTTATTGAAGTTCAAGTATAGTTTAAGATACTGTAACTTCAATATTCATTCTCTTTCCTTAAAGCATCTTATTTTTCAGATAGTGAATCAGTACTGTTACAAACTTATATAGAGGATGGGTCAGCATAGGACCTCGTCACATGATAGATGATCGAAAAACATGCGAATGCTCCAAGTAGAAAAAGAAAAAGAAAAGAATGCCAATGTGTTACGATATTTTCTATTTCCTATTAGAGCTAAAAATAGGAGAAGCAGCTACTTTACAGGTATGGCAATAATGTATTGAGATCATCCTATGGAGAGACGGATGGATCAACCTCTATCCCCGATTACATCCGAGCAGTTTCATCAGCCCCATCCGTCTCATGTCGTCACGAACCTTATTAGCATCATCCCATCTATTGTGATTAGTGTACGTATTCGACAATAGTGCATAAGTTCCAAGTGCTTAACCTTCTACTCTTCAGGAGACCATCCCTGATCCTCTCAAACATCTTATCATTCCCATGAATCCTGCAAGCATTAAGCAGCGCTCCCCAAACAGAGCTATCTGCTTTTGTTGGCATTTCTTTAATGAAACCCTCTGCTTCTTCCAAGAACCCTGCTCGGCCATGCATATCAACCAGACAGGCATGATGCTGCGTTTTAGGAACAATCCTGTAAACATCTTCATAGCATTAAAGAATATCAACCCTTGATCCACTAGGCCTGTGTGACTGCATGCTGATAACAAGCCAAGGAAGGTTACATCAGGAGGAACCCCGTGGACTAGCATAAGTGAAAAGAGCTGGTGCTCCACGAAATGATATCCTTACAATCCAGGCCTTTAAACACCGAAATTGCCATACCTACTTCACCACACTTGTCATACATGTTGAGTAAGGCATTTCCTTACCCTGCTCGGCCATGCATATCAACCAGACAGGCATAATGCTGCGTTTTAGGAACAATCCTGTAAACATCTTCATAGCATTAAAGAATATCAACCCTTGATCAACTAGGCCTGTGTGACTGCATGCTGATAACAAGCCAAGGAAGGTTACATCAGGAGGAACCCCGTGGACTAGCATAAGTGGAAAGAGCTGGTGCTCCACGAAATGATTGCCATACCTACTTCACCACACTTGTCATA